CGCTCCCTAACAGTGTCGTAATTGCTGGCGTTTTGGGCACCCTGCTAAACACTGCAGATCTGTGTCAGAATACCCGGTCAGCAGATCATTCCATTATATCTTGTAGTCTTCCTCCCCCCCCCCTCTTGTCTTAATTGTAAGGAACCTCATCCTTCCTTTTCACGCTATTGCCAGGTCTGTTGTAATGAATGAGAGATCCGTTATCTTGAGGAGCGTGAGGGCCTTACACTATGGCTGTCTCTCAGCTCCACCTTCAAGGAAAACTTCCTTGTGTCCTGTATGCTCGGGTAGTCTGAAGACCTCCAACCTCGACGGGCCTCCCGCCTCCCAGTCCCTCTGCATCTGTCTTCTGGGGTCACCCCAGTTTCTAATTCTTTTGCAGTTTTATCCTCTGACACTCCTACCTCTGCACCACTTCCTACTTTTACTTCTTCATCTCGCTCACTTGCTTCTCATTCTATGAGATCTTGCAGACCTATACTTTCTTCGCATTCATCACCTGTACAGAATCCATGTGGAGGTTCATTCCCCCTAACATTCCCCCTCCCCCATCTTCCTCCATGGTTAACCTCCAACCTCCCTCTCCTGTTATACTGCAGGACTCTTCTACCACAGCCAAAGCATCTCTCCAGGTTCATACTCCCTGCCCTCCTCAGACCTCATTGGTTCCCTCCATAGTTACTCCGCCCTTTACTTGTAATGCCTTTCCTATCTCTGACATCATGGCATCGTCAGCTTCCTTAACAACTGAGACAGACGCTATCTCCAGCTATATTGCGGAGACAGCACCCCTGATGGACACCAATGCACTTCCTACCCCTTCTATTTCACAATCCTATCAACAATCTGTTCCTCCACGACATTCTAATTCTTCCTTGTTTACATGCTTACCGTTGCCCCCACACGTTGACTTTACAGATTCTAAAAGCCCATAGGTTTTATCATTTCTTATTGTTGCCAATTTTATTTCTGTACATAATGTGTCTTTTACAATGGAATATTCGTGGCCTTAGGGGCAGTCGAGGAGAACTCCAGGTGTTGCTCTCCCAGTTGTCCTCAGTATGTGTTGGATTGCAAGAGCCCAAAATTCTTTCTATCATTCGCCCCATTTCAGGCTATGTATTGTTACATTCTTCCTATCCTTTACCTGACTAATCATTTAATGAAAGCACGCTTCTTGTGCGCGTTGATGTACCGTATCAAGTTTTTGTTCATTCCCCACTGCATTATACTGCAGCTTGTATTTATTTACACAAGACGGTTTACAGTTTGCTCTATCTTTCTCCCGCCTGTGCATTCTGTATCTCTGATATTGCATTTTTAATTTCTTCTCTACCGCCACCCAGCTTCTTGTTGGGTGATTTTAACACTCGCCATCACCTGTGGGGAGGGTCCCACTGTGATTCTCGTGGTGATCAGTTGGAGACACTTCTCGCTTCTCGTCCTTTTCATGTTTTAAATACTGGTGCTCCTACCCAGTTTGACTCTCACACTTAGTCTCTCTCCTGCATTGATCTTTCCATCTGTTCCTCGCCCATTGCACTTGATTTCGTGTGGTCTGTTCTTCCAGATTTACATGAGTGTTCACTTTCCTATCTTTCTTACTTCTACTACACATACCCGACCATTTCATAGCCCTTGTTGGCAATTTGCACGAGCAGATTGGGACTTGTACTCCAATCTTACCACCTGTTGCGAAGACCCCCCTTTTGTTCTCTACTGATGAACTGGCACACCGATTTTCAACCTTAGTCCTAACTGCAGCGACGTGTTCTGTTCCCCAAACCTCAGGTAGGCATTCTCAGACATGCGTACCGTGGTCTCCTACGTGCGCCCGTGCGGTGCGTTTAAAACGTGCTGCGTGGGGCCATTATTGATGTAATTGTACTGCGGAGCATCTGTTGGATTTTAAGCGGGCAAGGGCAGTTGCTCGCAGTGTCATCTGCGACGCTAAACGCACTTGTTGGCAAGACTACGTTTCTACCATTACCTTGTCTTCCCCTATGTGCGCAATTTGGAAAAAGGTATAGAAATTTGTGTGGCAAGTACACTCCGGACCCAGCTCCAGTTTTGTGGGTTGCTGGAGTTGATGTCGCAGAACCTCTAGAAGTTGCCACAGAAATCAGGAACTATCTTGTCCGTATCTCCCAAGGACTTTACCTCTGTCCCTCACTACTTGTGTCTAAGCCTACCAAAGAGCAATTGCCCTTAGATTTCTCCTCTAATGGATTGGAGCCATATAACATACCTTTTACTCTCCTAGAATTGGAGTCCACACTTTCCATTTGTCGGCCGTCGGTATCGGGACCTGATGATATCCACATCGGTATGCTACATCTCCATTCTACGGCCCTTCCCGTTCTTTTATGTCTTTTCAATCTTATTTGGGAGCAAGGGGTTCTCCCTCAACGATGGAAATCGGCTATTGTACTACTCTTTCACAAACCAGGCACCTCGGGGCTTGACACCTCTCACTATCATCCCATTACCCTGACCAGTGTGGTCTGCGAGGTGATGGAACGATTGGTGAATAGACGTCTGATGTGGCTCTTAGAGATTCACATCATGGCTTTCACAAAGGCCGCTCTACTTTAGACCCCTTGCTCCACTTGCATACGTATATTCGAAATGCTTTTGCTAACAACCACTCTGTCCTAGTGGTCTTTTTTGATCTAGAGAAGGCATATGACACCACTTGGAGGTATAACATTCTTGCCCAAGCCCACTCCTTAGGCCTCTGCGGTAATCTACCAGATTTCATCGCTGCTTTCTTGTCTGATAGACATTTTTGGGTCTGTATTGGTGTCTCGCTTTCCTCGGACTTTGTATAAGCCGAGGGAGTCCCACAAGGTTGTGTCCTCAGCATTTCTTTCTCTTAGCTATAAATGACCTACCTTTCATTCTTCCTTCGCATATCTGGTCATCACTTTGTTGATGATTTCTCTACAGCTTCCTTGGGCGCTGACTGTCTACTAGCAGCAGCCTCTCTTCAGGTTGTGATAGACCGAGTCTCCCGTTGGACCATTTCTCATGACTTTAAATTTTCTAGTACGAAAACCCGATTCCTTACCTTCACTAGACGTCCGCTTATTCTGGACACTCCATTATACTTACACGGTTCACGTATTCCGGCACGTGATATGGTTAAGTTTCTTGGCCTGCTCTTTGATCTCCAGCTGATGTGGAGACCTCACATTTCTTCATTAAAGACAACTTGCTATGGTTGGCTAAATCTCAAGGTTCTCGCACATCATTCATGGGCAGCAGATCGTTGCAATCTCCTCCGTTTGCATTCCACCTTAGTCTTGTCCAAGCTAGATTATGGTGACCAAGTCTATTCTGCGGCCTCTCCCACATCTCCAAGTTAGATCCCATTCATCACCAAAGTCTCCGTCTGTGCCTTGGTGCTTTTCGTTCATCCCCTGTTCAAAGCCTCTATGCAGAGATGAGTGTTCCTTCCCTGGCTGATCGTCATGATGCTCAGTGTCTTCGTTAACCTATACGTGTTCCTGCCACGTATAGGTTAGCCTCAGACATTAATAGGAACCCACTGTTTGTTCGACGCCCCTGCCTACTCTGACCGTTTTCTCTTCTCATTCACTCACTCTGATCTTCTCTCCAGTTGCCCCCCTTGTACGTTCATTTAGCATCTGCCTTTTCCCTCACCCCTTGGGAAGTTCTGACAGTTCATGTCTCCTTCCCTTCCCCCCACTACTGTGTGCCAAAGCTTTCTTACCTACGCCTGCTACTCGCTCTCTTTTTCTCGAACACTTCCGGTCACATGCTCATGCCATTGCTGTATATACAGATGGTTTTAAATCTGCTGGTGTTGGGTTTCGCGGTAGTTTTCCCTGATGCTGCTGTCTGAGGCCACTTGTTGGACTCGGCTAGTGTTTTTACTGCAGAGTTGTATGCCATCCGCATAGCGCTTCTTTGTATTACATATACGTCTCCTCCGACGTTTATGATCATTTCAGATTCCCTCAGTGCTTTACAACCCATTAAACAACTTGACTCCCCTCATCCATTAGTCCTCCGTATTCAGCAATGGTTGCACTACATGTCTAGCAAGTATAAAGATGTCGTTTTTTGCTGGATCCCTGGTCACATCGGTGTGCAGGGCAATGAGTAGGCAGATGCTACGCGGTCAGCGGTGCATGATCTCCTGGTTTCTTATAGGGGTATTCCATACAGGGACTAGTCTCCAGTCATCTCTGCCCATCTCCGCTGCCGTTGGCAACAACGGTGGTCAGGCATACGTCTTAAATTGTGTTCTATTAAACCGTTTTTAGGTTTGTGGTCATCTTCCTACCATTGTTGCTGCTCTCGGGAGACTGCACTCTCCCGGCTCCGCATTGGTCGTACACGCCTTACCCATGGGTATCTCATGGATAGACACCCTGGTCCTCTCTGTGAGGTTTGTCGGGTCCCTGTTTTGGTTCTTCACTTCCTTTTCGACTGCTTGATTTACCAGCGAGCCCGCAGGATTTACCTCCAATGATGCCATCGCCCTATCACTCTTACTTTATCTTCTCTACTTGCAGATGACCCACTTTTGACTCCCAACCACTTTTCGACTTTTTGTCAGCAACTGCCTTATTGATACATAACGCTTAGCGTCCCTTCCATCCCATTTCTTCCCTCACCTCTGATCCCCTCTCCACCTAGCTGATTATAACCTCCGCACTACATACTGCCCTGCCGCGCTGTATGACCCTTGTTGGGTTAGCGCTCTCTCTGATTATTATAATGGCAGAGAGTGAGTGTAAGTGTAAGTAGATATGTAAACGGTGCTGCTTCTTAGCCATGGCATATTCAGGGGTCTAATATATTTATGGGGCAATTATTAAAGTGAATGATTTTACAAATTTATTTTATCTACAGACTGTTGGCCCAAATTCATAATTATTTTGTGTTGATTGTTCTGTAAATTCCCCCTCATTATGGTTTTCTATTTCCAGGAGACTATTTGTATTATGTACTATATTTTTTTCTTACAGATACAATGAATCCAAACAGTCTAGGATCTCCTGTTGGCCCTCCACCTCCAGGAACTAATGTAAGGTCTACAGTCACACTTCCACCTCCTTCACCAGGATCCATGGGCACATCCTACCCTCCTCCTCTTCCAGGGCTTCCAGGTCCTCCATATTATTCCCATGGAGGCTACAATGCCATACCCACCTCTTCCAGTGGTTACCCACCAGCTTACCCTCACAATGGAGCAGTCCGAGGTCCCCAACCTTTACACTCGTCTCCAGCAACTCAGTATCCCCTTCCATTGACTCCTAATGGTCCACTAAGCCAGTCTTCTCCTAGAGTAATGGCTGGTGAAAATTATTACTGGAATAGAGTTTCAGATCATCGACCGGCGTGAAATTCATTTATTTAGTATACTGGACTCAAAATGTATATTTCTCATTAGAAACTAAATGTGATCCAGCAGTGATAGTCACAAAAATGTCAATGTTGTAAAAATTAAATGCATACGCTGTGAAATATCCAGAAAAAAAAAAAACTTATATTTAATAATGTTTTACTATGCTCAGTGCCTCTAGTGTTCATATGGGACCATGTTTTCATAGCTTCATCTCACAATTCTGAAATTTATTCAGACAAAAATAGAAATGATGGCTATTACCATAAATTATGATCTCCTTATCTTTGATTGTCATAGTCCATTTTATTTTGCCTAATGGAAGTTTTCTTAAAGAAAACTTTTTAAATTAGGTATTCACTCAAAAGTCTATAGACAATTACATTTATTTTGCTTTTATGTATGTTAAAACTGGTCCTATTTTTATTTGCTACAGGATCATGACCAAAGTGACCTTATATAAAGGAGTAGGACCCATGCTCAATGCATTTCTTTTCTCAATATTTATAAATTAAAAAATCTATAAGAAAATGTCCTCTTAAAAAAATGGCCCTTTGCCATAATTTTTATATGCACATGTACATACTATGTAGTTGAAGCAGATAACAAGGACATACAATGAAGCATCCTCTGAAGGGTTGCAAATGGCAGTTTTTAACCATACATGTGAATGTAAACTGTAAGTAAACTGTAAACTTATTTTAATATTAAATTGTCAAAACTGCCTTGATCAAAAACCTATGAATGCCTTATAATGGACTGTAAAGTATGTGGACAGTTACAAAAATATTGTATGTATTCTAAAAAGTTTATATTATTTTAAATTTCAGGTATGTTGCATGCATGTAACATTCCCATGTATTATATACATTGTTAATAAATAAACATGAGAAACTTTTAACTTAATTTGCTGAACCTTAAATGTAAATCTTGTAGGATTACCTATGCTGGTTGGGTTAACCCTTTGAGGGTCGACAGGCCCTCTCCGAAACTCGTTCTCAGGGTCGGCCAAATTTAAAAAAAAAAAAAAAAATTATTTTCTCTTATGAAAAGATAGAGAATCTTTTCCCGATTATAAGGACACCAAAAGTTTGAAATTTGATGGAAAACTTACGGAATTATGCTCTTGCAAAGTTAGCAGTCTCGGCAATGTTTACGCATCGGTGATTTTGCCCACTTTGAGCCCCATTTTTGGCCAATTCCACTGCACTAGTCGACAAAAAACATGAATATTTCGCTAGAACTCCATTTTTTCTATCGAATGGGTGCAAAAAACCACCCATTTATGAAATTCAACTATCCAGTACAGTGGTCAGAATTTAGCAATTTTGCCAATTTCACACAAATTTCAAAAGATGCCAATTTCCGAATAGGGTCCAGAATAAACAAGAAAGACATTCCTGGCACTAAAATGACATTTCCTCTAGTCATTAGTCACGTCTGAAGGCCCCTCTTATATTCTTTTGCTTTCCACTTTGAATTTTTTTTCTCACAAAAAATATAAGATTTACTGTTATGCAGACTACTGCATTAGTGTAAAAAATGGTATAAATATTATGGGTGCACTTGTGAAAGAATATTAGACTCACCAGTTGACGTGTATTGCACGCTTGGCACGATTTGTTTACTTTTGAACTTCGATAAAAATCGAACATTTCTGCTACTTTGAGCTCAATTTCAAGGTACCTTTCATTGTAAAACCAGTCAAAATCATCTCAATTTCTGTAATATGTCTTCCATTCTATAAAATGAGACCAAGAAAACTAGAATACAACAATAAATACCATACGAAAATACAGTGCAAAGTCGCTGTTTTATTCCAAAAAAATGGTCAAAGTTTTTTTTTTCTCATTATCCACTGTGTGCTGCAGGATTTTTTTTAGACTGTGCACACTGACCAAATAGACCCATTCTTTCATATGAAGGCCTACCAGCTTTCTCCCACTAGATTTGAGGGCGCTAGAATTTAGGCGTACTAGTACGTCAAAAACCCTGGGTCGTAAGCCGTACTAGTACGTCCGAAACCCTCAAAGGGTTAATATTATATTTAGGGAAAAGTACTCAAACTATTAGGTTCAGGGAAGGGGAGGTAAATCCAATGCCTTGGACCAAAAAGCCCTCACCAGCATCTGTATATTCAGATTTTTTTAACACGGCCGTTTCCCACCGAGGCAGGATGACTCAAAAAGAAAACCCCCCCAAAAACTTTCATCATTCAACACCACTCATATTAATCACTGTCTTTGCAGAGGTGCTCAGATATGACAGTTTAGATGTCCCTCTAAACTGTCAGTATCCCAAACCCCTCCTTTAACCCTTTGACTGTCGCAACTCCCAATCCTGTGTCGCAAAATATTTGAAAAAAAAAAAAAAAAATGAAATGATAGAGAATCTTTTACCGATGGCAATGACACCAAAAGTATGAAATTTGATGGAAAACTTAGGGAATTACAGTCGTGAAGTTAGCCATATTTACGCATCAGCGAGTTTGCCCACTTTGAGCCCTATTTTCAGCCAATTCCGTTATTCCAGTTGACCAAACTCATGGGTATTTCTTTAGAACTCCATTTGTTCTATCGATCGAGTACAAGAAACGCCCATTTACCGATTTCTACTACCCAATAAAGTGGTCAGAAATTGGCAAATTGGTCAATTTCACACAAATTAAAAGATGCCAATTTCAAAATAGGGTCCAGAATGACAATGCAGACATTCTTGGGACTAAAATAACATTTTCTCTGTTCATCAGTCACATCTCCAGGCCCCTCTTATATTACTTTTGCTTTCTATTTTGAATTTTTATTCACACAAAAAAATAGAATATTTACTGTTATGCAGACTACTGCATTATTGTAATAATTGTATAAATAATGTCAACCTATTCATGACTGCATATTAGAATGGCTAGTTGGACAATGATGTCATTTGTTTACTCTTGAACATCAGCTACTTTGGGCTCCATTTCAAGGTCCTTTTCATCATGAAACCAGTCAAAATCATCTCTGTTTCTATAATATGTCTTCCATTCTATCAAATGAGACCAAGAAAACGAGAATACAACCATAAATGCTATACGAAAATACACCTCAAATTCGGCATTTTAATCCAAAAACATGGTTAGTTTTTTTTCTCATTCGCTGTAGGATTTTTTTTTATACTGCGCACACTGACCATAGACCCATTCTCTCACATTTGGGCCTACCAGCTTTCTTCCACTTGATTTGAAGCCACTAGAATTTTGGAGTGCATACACGTCAAAAACACTGGCTCGTAAGACGTATATATACGAACAAAAAAGTCATAGGGTTAAAGTGCAAGCTTTGTACAGTGGTACCTTGACTTACGAGTTTAATATGTTCCGTGACCTAGCTCATAACAATTTGCTTGTATATCAAATAAATTTTCCTCACTGAAATTAATTGAAATGCCATTAATCTGTTCAAGCAGAATTCCTGGTCTCGGGAGGCAGGAGAAATTACTTCAATATAACGCTAATATCAACCTCTACGGCTTATTTATCTATCACAATTGATCTAATATGCCATAATAGATGATATAAATAACAAACATGATGTATACTCTAGAATGAGCATGTCATGTGACGAGTGGTGGCGGCCACTCCCGCTCCCACTCTGACGATATCTTCCCATTCTTCCCCTTCTGAAAACGAAGTGTTTGTGAGGCTAACTGCACTAGATCACTAGTTTCATCAGGAAAACACTGCAACAATGTATTTATATACAAGAAATATTGTATAAAAACATAACATAATAGAGAATGTAAAGAAATACTGTAAACTGGTTTTATAAAGTGTACATATTTACCTTAGAGAACAGATGCTAGCAGAGGTGGAAGGTGGAAAAGATAGGCTACTTGCTACACTTAATGCTACACTTTATTGCTTGGCTGGCGCTATAGCCTTTATCGACTCCTCCTGCTTTAGTATTGTACATATAGTAGAAGTACTACGCTGGTACTGCCTGGCCAAGTCCACAACCCACACACTTCGCTCGTGTTTATCTATGATTTCATTCTTTAATTCAGTGGACATTGTCATCTTTTTCTTCTCAGCACTGTCCTTTGCATGTACTTTCTTAGGATCCATGGTTAGAAAAGAGAAATTTGGCAAAATAATTGCACAAAATGCAAGCACAACATAAGAGAAATGCTTCCACGGTGAGGTAAACACATGCACTGCTGAGCAGATGTTGTGACATTTGCTATGCCAACTAGTGGCGGCATTCTGAAGCTCGCTCATCACTCGGATTTTGGCTTGTAATTCAGAGCAAAAAATCGACCGAGCAACGGCTTGCAACTCAAAAAACTCTTATGTTAGGACACTCTTAAGTCGAGGTTCAACTGTACTTCCCATTTCCAGGACTCAAGTCCAGCTAAGCAGTTTCCCTGAATCCCTTCACAAAATATTACCCTGCTCACACTCCAACAGCTCATCAGGTCCCAAAAACCATTTGTCTTCATTCCCTCCTAACACGCACACACATGCTTGCTGGAAGTCCAAGCCCCTCGCCCACAAAACCTCCTTTACCCCCTCCCTCCAACCTTTTCAGGGACGACCCCTACCCCACCTTCCTTTCCCTACAGATTTATACGTTTTAAGTCATTCTACTTGTTCCATTCTCTCTAATGACCAAACCACCTCAATAGCCCCTCTTCAGCCCTCTGACTAATACTTTTACTAACTCCACACCTCCTCCTAATTTTCACACAACCAATTCTCTGCATAATATTTACACCACACATTGCTCTTAGACACATCTCCGCTGCCTCCAACCGCCTCCTCACAGCAGCATTTACAACCCAAGCTTCACACCCACGTAAGAGTGTTGATACCACTATACTCTCATATATTCCCTTCTTAGGCTTCATGGATAACATTTTTTTTGTCTCCACAGATACCTCAATGCACCACTCACCTTTTTTCCTTCATCAATTCTATGGTCAGCCTCATTCTTAATAAACTGATCTGCTGATCATATATATAGTAATATTTGTATATATAACTTATTTTGTATACATTGAATAAACAGGAGAATAGATGGGAAATTTAAACCGTGGTCCAGACACATAGGCCAAACACTAACAACTCAGCCAGAGCTTATAATAGGATTTTACAACCAGTGTAACTGACATAGTAATATCAGCAGCACCAACTGTGACCCTACTGTCTAATCCCACAGCCCCAGCTTTCATGGTGCATCTATTCTCATACTCTTTAAGGCCATATAGTTCAGAAATCTAAAGATAAATTGTTCTGAATTACTGTTAAGTAAACAGAATAATATGCAGGGACTCTAATCCATCCATGGATTATATGGCCCTGGGGCAAATGACAATAGATGCACCATGAAAGATACTTTAGCTCACCACCCAAACTGCACCACAATTGATGGTCAAATGTTCTCTTATATTAACAATGTATGATATCCTCCAAATACTCTAATATTTTATCCCACCTCACTCTCCTATACCATCTCACTAAGGTACAGACTCTCATATTTAGGGCTCAACCTATCTTCATGGCTGCCCCTGCACCTTCCCCATAAACACAATGGCCAGTCAGGAGGATCGGTTAGTTATTACAGAAATGTACCAACACTTATGCGAGTGTAAGGCATGGGTTTTAAATGCTGCAACACAAGGAGGCTAGAGGTAGCAGAGGAAAGTTGGAAAGCCATATAGATATTAAAAGGTAATGTAGAGTGACCAAGGGTATAACTTAGAAGGCTGAGGAAAGGTTTGGCCATGTAGAGAAGGATGGATAGGGACAGAAGGTAGTAGGGGGAGGGGTTCCAAGAACAGTTGGAGGGAGGGGGGTACAAGCTAAATTTTAGGGGCTTCAGCATTCAGCAGGCTTGTGTAAGCATCTTAGGAGGGCATGGG